GGCCAGACACATGAAGGCCATTTTGCATATGGATTTGACCCTCGTTGCACTTGTATTAGATGAATCAAAGGTTGCTATTTAAGTTCCATTGGTGTCACTTGCTCCTGTAAGTTCATTTTATCCCAAATATGTTAAACAAGCTCATTTAATGTTTTTTTAAGCGTTTTTTCCCCTAACTCTTATAATTGATCTATTTGACATCTCTAAAAGGTCAATAATGTGTTTAGTCACGGCGTTGAATTGGTCCTCCTCATCTTCTCTCTTTAAAAAAAAATTCAACCTCCAATAATCATTTACATCAAATAGAATAAGATCAGAAACGTTACAAGTAACACTAATACCATATTTACTTGATAAATCAACTTCATAAGCATTGTCATTAATCCTCTCAAGGATATGAAATGACCCTACATCAACTTCTAAAGTGAATTTTTGTATTAATTGTTAGCAAGTTGATGTTCTAATTAAAATGAGAACGGTTTGAAGATCATCAGGTGTTTTAAAAAGCTATCATGATAGAAAATAAAATAATATATGTCTTGATAAGTAAAGTAGTATAGTTATAAATATTCTTTTTATAATCTTTTAAACTAATAAAAGTTGCTATCTTGGGCTTGATTGTGTTTTTAAATTTTTTTTATTTTTTGAAGAGCTTTTCAAAAGGTTTTATCTTTGTAATTAAATAAATTATTCATTTAAATTTTTTATACTTTTATTTTTTATTTATTTGGTTACTTGACAAGTGGATATAAAGTATTAACATTCATTTAAATTTTTTATACTTTTATTTATTTGGTTACTTGACAGGTGGATATAAAGTATTAGCAAATTGCATCTTAACATCGGGACAAAAGCGAGAATGTCATAAGTTACTTTCGAGTATTCAGATGTGTATGCTATGTGTTCATACCTGATCATCTACGAAGTGAATTTGATAAGAAGGTGATTCGATGAATATTTTTGGGCTATTACGGGCAAGGAAAAGGCTGGAGATATTGCAATCCCGATACCAATAAATGTATGATATCGAGAAAATCGTGTTTGATGAAGAAACTACTTGATGGTCATCAGAAATGATGAAGAGGAAAGATAATAATAATCATGAAGAAGGGTCTAACAACTTGTTTAAGGATGTGCAACTAATTCTTAATAAATTAAAGGAGTCCGCAGTTTCAAAATAATCAAGAAGCACCTGTAGAACAAGCCCCTGGCAAACTAGAGTTTATCAAGTACCTTCTGAAAAAGAGCAACCCGACAAACAAGAAGTTCAAGAACAAGTTACACCTCAAGTGAGGAGATCAATAATACAACGAAAACCAAACCAAAATATGCTAACACAACATTGGCTTTGGAAGCTCAAGTTACAGAGCCTATGACTTATGAAGAAGCGTCGCAGAGCAGTGAATGGAAGAAGGCAATGGATGAGGAGATTCATGCTCTAAAGGAAAATCAAACATGGGATTTAGTTCCAAAGCCTGCAGACGTAAATCCCATATCCTGCAAATGGGTTTACAAGGTAATGACATGTTCAGATAGATCGACCGAAAGACATAAGGCATGACTAGTAGCTCGAGGATTCTCCGAACAATATGGATTAGATTATGATGAAACGTTTAGTCTAGTAGCAAAAATCGCTACTGTGAGAGTAGGACTTGCATTGGCAGCTAACAGGTCATGAAAACTATGGCAATGGATATAAAGAATGCGTTTTTGTATGGAGAGCTTGCTCGGGAGATATGTATGGAGCAGCCACAAGGGTTTCAAAGTAAACTTCATCCTAGACATGTATGCAAGCTTAAAAAAGCTCTACATAAATTAAAGCAAGCTCCAAATCACAGATTTCTGATGCAAAGTGGCTACTCAATGGCTTAGTCAGATTCAAAGCTATTTGTTAAAAATCAAGGAGGAAGAATAACAGCAATTTTGGTCTAATTGGACGGCCTCATTATTATTGGAGACGATGTGGAAAAAATTCCACCAAGCAAGAGAAAATTTAGTAGTCCGCTTTCAAAGGAAAAAGCTTGGAGCGCTTAAGCATTTTCTTGGACTTGAAGGGAGACGAAAAAAAAGTGGTTCTAAATCAACAAAAGTATGCAAAATCTGGAATGCTCATCTGCAAGCCTGTTTCTACCCTGATAAAAGTTCACATAAAACGAGGAAAAAGATTTGAAGTATACAATTACGCCTCGCCTTTAGTCAATACTCTAATCACCCATAAATTTAGGTATTTAGGTTCTTAAAACATTGCTAAGAAGAGACATAGAAAGAAGTTCACTGCACTCACATTATAGCATCATCACACACATCATATCCACAGCATGTTTTGAAGAAACTGTTAATCCATTTCTCCTCCTCCCTTAATCTTCTAAACTCTAAATGGTATAGTATCTTAGAAAGAAAGATCCAATAAGCTGGAATTTAAGATCTTAGAGAAACAAAGAGAGCATAAACTTCTGTTAGTTATATTTGGACGTGGACGTAAACAAAAAGATTTGAGAGTTCAAAATTTGAGGTTGTGAGTTAAAATGTGTTGGAAAGCTTCAAATTATTACTTGTAAAGTTTTTATTTCTTTAATTAATGTTTTGTAAGATTAATTGTATGCCCCTTGGTTCTCTTTCAGCGAACTTTCATGACTGAAGCTTGTGAGATGTTATGTTAATAGGAGTGTGGGACGATGTGATAAATGGGAATTGGTTGTATAAGAAACAAGAGGAACAATACCTGTTTAGAATGGTTCACAAGCTATACAGTGTTGAAGGTCAAACATGAGCTTGAAAGACGCCCTTACTACATGGTAGCCTTATGATGACTTGGGCAACAAGAAGCAAGTGCCATTAAACTGACATGCTGTCAAGGTGCCCTGTCTCCTCAAGGGCAGGGGCAAAGAGTGTCCTTTCATGGTGGCCAGAGCTCTGTCGTTCTTCCAACCAAAAGTATTACTTTAACCATCAAGATCCCTCAGCAATGTGATGTAGAATGCAAGTCTGGACGTTTGTGGGGAGGCTTGGTTCCTCTCTTTAATTAGCACTGTTCTGTCCGACAAGCTCCCCAAATTTGCTCAGTTGGGTATACAGATTCCATGTGTGGCAGCTTTATTGAATGAAGGCAATATTCAATTTCTGCCTTGGCTATGCAGACCCTTTATGCCTTTGAAGAGGTGTTGTAGGCTCTAGACAATGTGGTTGCAACTTAGCAGTGCCTTCTGGAGCCATTAGAACGTTGATGTCTAGCAGTAGTTGTGTGATTTTGGCTCTTCTGATCCACCAGTGATTGATGCTGGAAAGCGAGGGATGATTCTCTCTTCTCTCTATTGTGGTGAAGGTGGCTTGGCAGTTGACTTATCTTCTGATACTTTTTTCATCGTCGATTTTTCAAACTTCAAACACTAGTTGGTTTCCTTCCTTTAAAGTGCTTCCTTTGAGCTTTAACATTGTTCAAAGAAGTGGATGTGGATTTTGAGCATCTTTCCAGGAAAAATGTTATGTAGCATGAAGCTACATTAAGATGTTTTGCAATGTTGATCAGTTCTTGTAATTTTATTGGGAAACGAGTGAAAGCAATTTTCTAACCTCCAGTCTTTGTTCCTTCTCAACGACAATTATGTTATTCCTTGTGTCAGATCTGGAACCTCCTCGTCAAAGGCTGAAGACACCAGCAAGAACTGCCCAAAAGCTGATCGCTTATGGAATGGGGTTGAAACTGCCGACAACCTTTGGTTCAAGAGGACTGAAGAGCCAGGAAGAAACCAGAAAGAAGCGGATAGTTACAAGGCAAGAATGAAAGATGATGATGCTTGGGGCAATGATTGATGGAAAAACAAACAAGGATAGCTTTGTAGTTTTAAAGACCAGTTCAACTACAAAAAGAAACATAGCCTTAGAAATGGACGTATCTTGTATTAATGGATTGCTTGCACTCATGTTTTTATTATTAGCAGATTGGTCTTTACCTTATTTTCTGTTTGTTTAATTTGCTCATTGAATGACAGGACATTTATGCATTTTGCTTCTATGATGCTAAAAGAGAACCATTGTATAGTCCCTTTGTTTTTAGATAATAATTAAGCATATCGAATTCTTATGCTTTGGCATCTGTTTAAGCCTCGTCCTTTGATCATTTCTGTTGCCATTTAATTATTTTTTTCTTTCCAAAAAATACCTTCTTCAAAGTGAGAAAATGCCCTCTACTCGGACCAAAAAAACACTCAAATTTGCTTGCTACAGTATCCATTTTACATTGAGCATGGATCTGCAAGGAGTCAGATATACAATAAAAATTGAACCAAAACTTATCCCTCCTCTCACTTGTAGATTACAGGCAATAATACGATATAAAATTAAAATAAAAAATCTTTGATCCACAAAAAGCACATCGTCGAAAGAGATCAAATGTGAAATATTTTGCAATCATGAACTCTTTCTAGAAAGATTCTTAAGTCCACTTCCCACACATTTGAGTATAACCGTCCCTGTTGATGGATCAGGCTTGATGACGAATTTAACACCCAAAAAATCCCTGATGAGCCTTAGTGTTTCTATTCCATGGGTTACTAGCTTTCCTACACGAATCTTTGAAACATCTTGGGGGCATAATGCACAAAGAAGAAACAACAAACCCTGCAACCAAATGACAGCAGCAATGAAAATCAGGTGGCATATACGAGGTATAAAAGAACATTGCAAGACCCATAAAGATTTCACTCTTCTTTTCCTCGAGGGTGTCATACTATTCTCCCAAGTAAAGATTCGAAATAAATCACTAACGTGGTCTTTTAAGGACTCATCTATAATTCAATATCATTACTGCCACCCAAGATAATCAGAAGCAGATAATTAGTCATTAACAGCTTTCATTTAACTTCATTTAGTGATGCTTTTTGGAAAGTACTATTAATGCAGTAACGGGATATTGAAAAAAAAAGAGAGAACCACATCAATGAATTTAAACAAGCTCACAAGAAAAAAAGGAGAAAAAAGGAGAGCAGATAACACAAACCTGGTGTGTTGTATCTACAACTCCACCCTGTTCAATCTCTTGAAGGAGAACAGAAGCAATTTGCTCACCAACATCTTCTGCAGGCACCAGCTCTTGTTTCTCACCTTCCATTCCACCATCATCCGCTCGTGCATAAGAAACTGCAGTATCAGCAGTGATGAAACAACCAGAAGTAGTTTCCGCAACCAAGGATATTCCATAACCAGGTGAACTGCCCATTAAATCAATATCTGTGTGAGCTATATACTCTCTGTAGCATGCTGAAAGTAAAAATAAAACATAAAAAAATTCCAAGCAGTGATTCACATTTCTCTCTACTGTGCTTGAAAAATCCAGACAAACAAACATGTAACATTTCTCTGAACAGATATAATACTTTCCAACCAGCAGACCAGCTTTATAAATAAATATACGAACATCACGAAGAAAAAAATAAAAACAAAAAAGTTCAAGCAGCAATTCACACTTCTCTCTCCAATATTTCCAAACAAACAATGAGATGACCATTTTTTATTAACAGATAACATACTTTCCAGCTTGTTGACCCGCTTTATGATCAGTGAATATGTGGACATCAGGAAGTAAACGATTAAAGATTCCTCGAGCAGCATGTATCATGGTATTCTCAAACTGAGAAGAGACTCTGGTTGAGAAAGTCACCCCTCTAATCCTCTTAACCATTCCCTCATCAATCCAAGTGACTGCCTGCAGAGTGTAACAAATAAGAACATGGAAAAAAAAAAAAAGCATACAAATGAACTACGTAACAAATAAGAACATGGAAAAAAAAAAGCATACAAATGAACTGCCACAGGATTCGAAATCTCACTGTTAAACTTTGAATAATGGGAACTGATAAGAGAACTTCTCCACCACCATGAGGTGGAACACCACGACTTTCTATTTTCAGTTCCAATCCTTCTGAAGGAACTCCAAATTGCTTCAATAATGGTAAGGTAGCAGAACGGAAAGTGTCAACACATGGGTCCTTAGAATCATTTGTAATTCCTGAAAACAGCAGGTTATTCCATTAATCTTCTTAAGAAAAGAAAAGCAATACCCTTTACAGTTGTGTTTCACGATGCAAAAATCATAAACCAAGGCATTGCCTATAAAATTGCTATGTAAAGTTTATGGGAGGATACTTTTAAGGTAAGTCAGAGCTGATATTGTCAAGTTAACGTTTGCATCCTAGTCTTTCTTTCTTTTACAACATAGCAGTGTCAGAGACCCTAGGTATTTTCTCAACATTAGGCTGTGGACTAGGTGTGATCTATATAAGCACAAAGGGGAAAATGGATAGCCTTTCCAGTGATATACAGAACAACAGTTGACAAAGCCTCTACAATCAATCATTCTCTAAACTCCAAAAGGCACAAAGCATGTTTTAAAGATCTTACATTCTCGATTGCTCCTTTATTACCACACATGAAGTTCAGAACTCAGTAGCAAGATTTTCTCTTTTAGATTTGGTCACAAATATACAAAGGTTGATCTATACCTGTCTTTGGTAAAATCTTTGATAATTCATATGGAATAACACCTTACAAGCTAATAAGGTTTGCAGGTTTAGGGAACCCTGAATGAGGAGATCAGCAAATATACGACAGCATTTGATAAAATTCAAATTCCCATTCTAGTTCCCATGGGGAGTAGAGGGAATCAACATGTGTAGAAATGGTCACAGTTCAAAGAAATAAATTACCTTCTGGCTTCTGTAATATCCCTCTTTCAAATAGTAGTCCTTTACTGAGAACTTACAATCAAAGTCCCACATAGAACCGATGATGAATAACATTAAACTCCCTTTCTCTTTCATTTTTTTGGTCAGAGTATAAGACAGTACATTACAATCATTCAAAGTGGAGATCGTTTTGAGCAAAATGATGAGGCCAGAGCTGATCGATAAAAAAAGACAGCAACTAAGCAGCTAAGAACCCCATAAACAGAAAACAACATAAAATTGCACAAACACTTAGCACATGATGACTGACCAAACTTTTGGGGAAAACAGTACCTTTGAGCCTTATCGAAAGGGGCTTCTTCGAAAACAACCCAAGAACAACCAATGGCTCCAAGAAATACCCAATAGCTCGACTTACACCACAATCGTGCACAAGGTGTCTCCCACCCATCACAATCCCAGGCTTGTATTGAAACTTTGTTCCTGCCACATAAAATATATCCCTCAAAATCAAAACCCATGAGAAGCTAACAACAAAAAAACAAATGGGGTGGTTTGTGTTACCGGTTTCATTGATTTTGACAACACAGTCATCAGAAATCTTCTCGAGGAGGCGGAGGAGAGAGACCTCATGGGGGCGTAGGCCGGGCATCATGTCATTGGCTCGAATGTCCTCGACTTGGACAGGAGTGGCGGAAAGCGTCGCTAATAGCAGTCTTTGACGGAGATTTTGGCTACCTCTTAGCTTCTTGTAGCTTACCTTTCCCATCTTTTTGCTTGACTGGATTGAAGGCCTTCTTTACTGGGATAATATAGATTTCTGGGACTAGGGTTTAGCCTTCAGCCAAAACCCTTCTTGTTGTTGAATCGTTCTTGTTTTGGATACGGGTCGGGTTTGTATATTATTGACCCTTTTAAAATTGGGTAGGTCTTTATTATTATTATTATTTCTCTCTCTCACTCTCTCTCTAATATTTGTCTTTACATTTTATTTTATTTTCTAGATTTGGATGTTTTTGTCGTCATATTTTTTTTTAAGTGTGTTAAATTGTTAATAATATATTCGATCAATAGACACTTATCATTTTTTTTTACAGCCCAACCATTCTAAAAGAAAAGGCAATAAAGAAAAATTGTTTAACGATTAGGGTTACTAAAAAATGTTAAAATGTAATAACTTGTGAATTATTATAAAATATTTAATTATATATATATTAAAAAAAATTAGACTTCTTTACTTTTGAATTTATTATCTTGATTTTTTTATGATAATTGAATTTTCTAGTGTATTTTAATATTTTTATCTTTCTTCTATAAATAAACTACTTATATTGTATTCTAAGAATTAAAAATATATAAAAAAGTATAAATTTATATATATGTTTTTACTTCTTTATTTTTTTAATTTTAACATGTTATCAATATAATCATTCTAATTAATTTATATTGAAATCTTGATATGTAACATGACTTATATAAGTTTCAATACTTTTTTTTCATTATTATTTATATTTTATGGAATATATATGGTTCTGCAACTTATTCTAGCAATTTTTTTCCTTTTATTCATCAAGATTTAAAATTCTTGAAGAAGTAGTATTGTAAGTTCCTAAAAAATTAAATAAATTAAGTGCAATTATTGAAGAATTAATATTTCTAAAGAACTAAATAAATAATAGTGTTAAAAGATTGATTTTTTTTTATATATATACATGATTTATTTAAAAAGTAATATATATATATATATATATTAAACTTTATAAATCATGTATATATATATAAAAAAAATTAGTCTTTTAAAAATAATTATTTATCATGGATCCTTAACATTGAGATTCATTTAGAAGCTATGAATATTAGAGAAACCATTAAAGAAGAAAATAACATATCCTTACTAGATCGTGCAGAAATAATAATTTTCATTGCCATCATCTCCTTCATGGATTAAAACTTGTATATTTCATAATAAAAGATCATCTTGTTTTATGGTAAAATTTAAAGGAAAGATATATGACTATAAAAAGTTTGTCATACTTTCTCATGCTTGTTATAATTGGTTACAGCTGGGGTTGCAATATTTTAAATTAGTTAGTAATTATAATTAAGCTCTTTTAAAAATTACTTCATAGTTGAAATTTTATGGTAAAAATATTATATAAGACCAAATTTAAGAGAAAACATTCTCTACTTTTTATGCCTTGAATATTGTCATGCAGCAATAATATAGATAATATAATTTCAAGAGGTATTCTGAATTAATTTCATGTTTTCTTATGACTGTACAAAATAATGAATTTTTAATGAAAAATTATCAATCTCATCCTATAGGTTCTAAATCATTCCCTCAAGTGAATGAAATCTTTTTCCAAAAGATAAGAAAGAACAAATGGTATAGATATGAAAAAAGTAAATAGAAAAGAAGAAAAGATAATCCTTGAAAAAGCAATTCGCCTTACCACTAGATGTGGTGACACAACGAACCCAAATGAGAAAATGGCAAGAATTTGCGTAAACCTAAAAATAAGTGTTATAGGTGTTGTATGCATGGTTAATGATCTCGCACTTATCACACACCAAAATATTTTATAGATTTATATCAAGTTTCTTTGAAACAAAATATAGTGAAGACTACTTTTATTCATAAAATATGATTTTGAAGGTCATAAAGCTTATCTTGATGTCTCTGATTTTTTTTAAAACTAGATAAAATAGATAATATGCAGAGTGGTAGAATCTTTAGTGATTATTAAAAAAATTTATTTGTATTAGGATATTTATTTTATTGTATTTCCAGCAAACAATGTTAATTTTATTTTAATTAAATAATAAACTTAATTATATTAATAAAGGCATAGTTTTTCATGATAGAGATTTATATATAGCAAACAATACAATAAAACACTTAATTTTCAAGGAAAATAAACACTTTGAATATTTAGCATTAACCAAAGCTAATGTCATTACAATATCAGGTTCAATATACATGATTAAAGGATCCAAAACACTTAATATTTTGTTATCAACAAAATTGGACATCAAAGATGCATTATATTCACTTGAGTCTAAAAGATATTTACTCAATTTTAAAGATATATGTGCTAATGGTTATCATATTGAAAAAAGAGATAAAGACAAAAAAAATCTTTATATTATTTCATGCATTTCATACTAGAAGCTTATACTTAAAAAATTACCTGCTTTCTCTTTTGAAATTTATTATATAATCATGAAATTTATTGAAATAAATTTTGTGATACACTAACAGTGTTCCGACCTAAAAAAATGTTTTACCTAAAAAAATGTTGTGGCATGATCGACATGGACATCTAGGATCAACAAGGAAGCGATGAATTATTGAAAATCCATGCAGGCATCCTTTAAATAACTTGAAGATTCTTTTACCATATGAAAACCCATGCATTGCATGTTTTTAATGTAAATTAATTACTAAACCATCTCTATCAAAGATCATTATAGAATCGTCTTCTTTTCTCAAAAGAATTCAAGGAGATATATGTGACCTATTGATCCACCTGATTAATACTTAAAAGTGTATTTTTATTAAGGTTTTATATTATTATTTTGTACTTGAAGTATCAATAACTCCTTAACTAAAACATGTTTTATAATAACATATCTAATAATATATGATACCTTTAATTTATGGTAAATGTTCATTTTAAATGCAAGCCTATCACATAAATAAAATGATTGATTGATGAGTTGAAGTATTGTAATTGATAGAATAAAGAGAGGGCCAAACTTAGAAAAGAGATGCTGGTGCAGTCTAAAATGAAATATTGTTCGGTAATTGGGTTATATATGAAGTTATAGATCTCAGATGTAGGTCTACTTTATATGGATGGAAAGCTAAGAGGCCTAAAACTTTCATGGGAAGTTAAGACTCAATTCTGCTATTTGGAAGTCTAAATCTTAGTAATAATATAAAAGTTTGAATATGTCCTGCAGCCCAAACACTGTTTAGTTTTCAGCTCATATCTCGAGTTCTAAAAGTCCAAATGACCTTAGTTTTTTTTTTTTAAGGAAAGATGAGACAATTCTAGAACTTTCATGCAGAAGTCTGGTTCAAATTCTGATGTTATCAATGACGTTTTATTCAGACAAAAAGATAAGGATTGTCACCAAGTCAAGATGTGGCCACCCACTCATCAATTAGTCATCAAATCAATAAGTTTCAATTTTAGCATATAAAAGGAGGCATTTGGCATGCATTTAGGCATAGATCAAGATTATGCTCTTGCTCTATCTTTGTTGTAATGCTTAAGTTTTACTTATATTAATTTCTTATTTATACATCTCATTTCCTTTCCTTTATTTAATTAACTATTATCTTATTTATATTCTTATCTTGTTTATTTATGTTTCTCTCGTTTATTATATTTAGTTAAGTTTATTATGTCAAGGTGAAAATGTTACACTAATGGTGTAAGAATAAGTATAGTGTAAACTCAATATGGATTTTAATGTTTGAAACTAACATGTTAATACTTGTTCACTCTTAATACTTTGTTTGTTAAATGGTTAATCTAGATTTATGTTGTATAACACTTGGTACAACAAATGCTTGGCACTTTCATAGCCCATAATGTATGGTATAACCGACACCTGAGCTATAAAAGGAACTTGATTTGTTGTTAACATAAGTTATAATCATGAATAC